TTCAGTGGTAAGCTGGTTTCTCCAAAATGGAAGAACTTCAAGGGCCTGAAGCTACAATGGAGAGACAAAATCCGTCTAAACAATGCAATATGGCGAGCGTGGTACATGCAATGTAAGTGCAACTGGCCCTCCAGCATTGGGATTCTCTGTGATGGTGAGATGAGTTTTCTCTGGCCATTCTCTCCTTTGCGAAACTGGAATTGCACAACTTCTCTGAGGACCTGGCAGTTTATTTTAAGAAGGAATTAGTCATTTCTAAAACAATGGATGGAATTCACAAACAGTTTGTTGTATAGGAAAACCTCAAGTTTTTTTGTTTTAGTGAAAGCAAGCTTTTTTTTCACTTTTGAAATAGATCGGGGAAGGATAAGAACCTCCTATTTCTGTCTGATGCAAGTGAGCAGTTTTTCCTCTTCAATGTGCAATACAGTGAAGGAAATAAGTATTTGATCCCTCTGATTTTGAATGTTTGCCCACTCACAAAGAAATGATCAGTCTGAAAATCGAATGGTAGGTGTATTGTAACACTGAGAGACAGAATAGCAACAAAAAAATAAAAAATAAAAATGCATGTCTAACAAATTATGCACTGATTTGCATGTTCATGAAGGAAATAAGTATTTGATCCCCTATCATTCAGCAGGATTTCTGTCTACCAGGTGTCATTCATACAGGTAACAAGCTGAGATTAGAAGCAATCTCTTAAAGGGAGTGCTGCTAATCTCATATTGTTACCTGTATAAAAGACACCCGTCCACAGGAGCAATCAAACAATCAGATTCCAAACTTCCACCATGGCAAAGACCAAAGAGCTGTCCAAAGATGTTAGGGACAAGATTGTAGACCTACACAAGGCTGGACTGGGCTACCAAACTATCGCCAAGCAGCTTGGTGAGAAGGTGACAACAGTTGGTGCAATCATTTGCAAATGGAAGAAACACAAAACAACTGTCAGTCTCCCTAGGTCTGGTGCACCATGCAAGAGTTCACCTCGTGGAGTGTCAATGATCATGAGAACAGTGAGGAATCATTCCAGAACTACACGTGAGGATCTTGTCAATGATCTCCAGGCAGCTGGGACCACATTCACCAAGAAAACAATTGGTAACACACTACGCTGACAAGGATTGAAATCCTGCAGTGCCAGCAAGGTCCCTCTGCTCAAGAAAGCACATGTCCAGGCCCATCTGAAGTTTGCCACTGAACATCTGAATGATGCAGAGGAGGACTGGTTGAAAGTGTTGTGGTCAGATGAGACCAAAATTCAGCTCTTGGGCATCAACTCAACTCGCCGTGTTTGGAGGAGGAGGAATGCTGCCTATGACCCCAAGAACACCATCCTAACTGTCAAACATGGTGGTGGAAACATTCTGCTTTGGGGTGTTTTTCTTCTAAGGGGACAGGACAACTGCACCGCATCAAAGGGACAATGGACATGGCAATGTACCATCAAATCTTGGGTGAGAACCTTCTTCCCTCAGCCAGGGCATTGAAAATGGGTCGTGGATGGGTGTTCCAGCATGACAATGACCCAAAACACACGGCCAATGCAACAAAAGAGTGGCTCAAGAAGAAGCACATTAAGGTACCGGAGTGGCGTAGCTAGTCTCCAGACCTTAATCTGATTGAAGATCTGTGGAGGGAGCTGAAAGTTCGAGTTGTCAAACATCAACCACCAAACCTTAATGACTTGGAGAGGATCTGCCAAGAGGAGTGGGCCAAAATCCCTCCTGAGATGTGTGCAAACCTGGTGGCCAACGACCGGAAATGTCTGACCTCTGTGATTTGCCAACAAGGGATTTGCCATCAAGTACTAAGTCATGTTTTGTGAAGGGGATCAAATACTTATTTCCCTCATGAACATGCAAATCACTGCATCATTTGTTAGACATGCATTTCTTTTGAATTTGTTGTTGCTATTCTGTCTCGGTGTTACAATACACCTACCATTCGATTTTTAGACCGATCATTTCTTTGAGTGGCCAAACATTCAAAATCAGCAGGAGATCAAATACTTGTTTCCTTCACTGTATGTCTCTGTGTCATCTCTGAGGGAACAGGGATCACTTAAGACTGAAAGGCACAAACGGCAATGAACAGATTCCCAACTATATTAAAGCGTTCTTTCTGCTGTCTGTCCATTGGATAGGTTTCCCATCAATTTCTGTTTCTCTGTCTGGAGAGGAAGTATGGAGAAATGTTCAAAGCTAGGCCATAGACAGATTTAAGGCACCATGCACACTAGTGCTTTTTTAAGCCTAAACACTGGTAATAGCGATTTTTAGTAGCGTTCAGAAGCATTTAGGAGAATTAGCGTTTTTACACTACATGTAGAGGGGGGGGGGAGCAGTTAGGAGTGTTTTTAATATTGTGAATTTTTGAGGGCCAATGCCCCCTTTTCTGTTTAAAAAAAAAAAACATAGTTACAACAACACTTTAAGTGTAAACGTTGCAATAAAAGCATTAATGTAAAAGAAAACAGAATCAAAAGAAATCTGAACAGAAAAACAGAAATAAACCACATGGTAGTCTGCACAATTCAAATAACAGAGATCTGCATGAACCTGCACATCATGTTAGGTGTGTTTTTTAGTATCGTTTAGAAGTGTTGAGCTTTTTTTTTTTTTTTTTTTTTTTTTTTTTTTTTGCTGGAAAAACACTCCAGAATACTCTACAAAAACAATATTTATTATTTTCTGCTCTTAGATGCAGAAGCTCAAAAAATGCTAATAGCCTAAAGTAGTGTGCATGGACACATAGGAGAATACTATTTAACTTCTAGGAGCAGAAAAAAAATTGCTGATAGCTTCTAGGAGTTTAAAAAAAAAAAAAGCTAGTGTGCATGGAGCCAAAAAACTGCACAGAAGTTGTAACCCTTCTCCATCCTATCCTATCCTATCTGAACGAGGCCTCAGATTTTTTTTTTTTTTTTTTTTTTGTTCTTCCTGAGGGCAGATCCGTTTTGGGATTGTACAGTCAAACAACGAAAGGTGGTCAGGAAATTTTAAGAGGTTTGGGTACATTGGCTGGATGCTCTCATGAAATTGAGAACCAGTCAGTCGGTTGTTTACTTTCTGAAGTTTGTAATTTTCCTCCTTAACCACTTGGGTTCAGAAGGTTTTATCCCCTTCATGACCAAGCCATTTTTTGCTATTTAGCACTGTGCTGTTTTAACTGGCTATTGCGTGGTCATGCAACACTGTACGCAAATAGCCTTTATATTTTTTTTTTTTCACACAAATAGCTTTCTTTTGGTGGTATTTGATCACCACTGGGTTTATCTTTTATTATATATTATACATGATGTGTGTGTGTGTGTGTGTGTGTGTGTGTGTGTGTAGATGTGTGTGTATGTATACATACATACAATGTGTGTGTGTATACACACACACTCACCTCATGTATATATTATACATGCTGCTGTTTTAGATGCATGGGGGGCCATTAAAAATGAATAACAACCCCGTTTGTCTAATGAGCAGCACTTTTTGGCTGTGGGAGGTTGTGGAATAAACTGCGATTCCCGCTTCCTCCACCACCCACAATGTGCCACTAGCCTGAAGCTACTGTGAAAGGGTGGCAAATAGTTAACTAAAGTAGAAGGATTTCTAAAAGCAAGAAAAACCAAAATTTATTTTAGCTTTTGGATAGAGTAGGAAATGAATGCTGCTGTCAAATGTTTTTTTGCCGTATCCAGTTGGGTAGCCTTTCATTCTCTTCCTCTTCTAGACGAACAGCAGTTGCTTTCTGTTTTGTATAAATTGTGTAACACTATCACATGACAGAATGGCTAAAAATGCAAACATGTTAAAAAATAAAATGTGTTTTGAAATTTAATTTTAAATTGGTATTAAACCTAAAAGCACACAATTGCCGGTAACAAATTCTGCGAAGGTTGCATTAGTTTTTCTTTTTTCTAAGTATTCTTTCCCTATTTCACATGGTGATCTGGCCAGAGATTGTTGTTTTTTTTTTTTTTTTTTTTTTTTTTTACAGAACAACCTGTCCTACAGATGTAGCAATTAGAGGGATGAGACAAAACCGTTTACCACTCACAACGGTGCATACAATGGCCACCTTTTATTTATGTAAAACCTTTATCCAAAAGGAGCAAAAGTGTTGCTGTAACTGCTTAAAAGTTTTAGCTGGAGTTTGGCTTCAATTTGTTAGTGTATCCAAATCTGCTAGTCCATCTAACACTTTAATCCCCCCATATTAACAATGCTGCTGTCCAAGATGCCCCTGTGAACTCTTCCAGACTGGGGGGCACTCTAATACAGGAGGTGTGTTACTGGCAGGATCACCAAGTGAAAACAGAGGGGGAAAAGAACTAATGCCACCACCACACCACATATAATGATTGGTAAGCTGCAATAAAGTTACGTTTTTGGTTTAATTCCGCTTTAGCTTTTTAAAGAGAGTGGTGTCTTTTGTGACATTTAAAAATTCTCTGTTTTCGCTCATTTTGCATTAGCAATACAGTGTTTTAGAGTCATTGCCTATGGATTAAATTGTTTCAAATTACCTGTTGATTTACCTTCCAGACATAGAGAAACGACAGAATCCAGTGTGCCATTTTGTGACTCCTTTGGATGCATCAGTTGATTTTGATGAACATAGGAGACCAGAGGTATGATGGTTCAGTGTCCTGTGTGTTTCTGCTACCGAGCCTAGCTGATTTAAATTGAATGTAAACTCAGTCACATCAAGTGCAACTTAACTGTGTCTTAGAGCCACAAACTGAAAATGCCATTGAATTATTTTTTTAATGCTCAGAGCAAAGTTGCACATCTACCTATGTCTCCTTGCTTAGTTTTGTTGAGAAATCACTTTGAAAAACACCCTCTATCATTTCTAGCTGAGTAAGGGCAGATAATTCATGTAGCAGCTACTTCCTGGAATCCTTCTGCCCCCAGACCAGGCATGCAGGCAGGAGTGTGTGCTGAGAGAGAGTGATATTAGGTTGAGGTGCTTTTTTTTTTAATAGATTATGAAATACAGTTGTGCAAATATCATGCAAAATAGAAAAACTGTCACTACCATTTTTTTTTTCCCAAGGCATTTGCTTTCAGAAAATATATCATGTTTTGGGGATTTTCGGCAACTTTCTAGCCAAAAATAAATTTAACTTAAGCGAGAAAATGAAAAATAATTTGCTCAATCAGTAAACAGATTAATCGGGACAAACCTTATGAAAATATGACCATGGATGTATCCATTAGTTGTGTATGCAGATTACTAGTTCATCTTTATTCTTTAGGCCATTGCTACAGAAGGAAGGTACTGGAAAAGGAGGATAGAGATTGTAGTGAGAGAATACCACAAGTGGAGAACCTATTTTAAAAAAAGGGTAAGAGTTTCATATTTTTTTTTTTCCGTACTTTTACTTTTATAACCTTATTCAATAAAATTTATGTGCAGTAACTCATAGCAACCAGTTGATGAATTTGCATTGGTCTGACTTCAGAAGAGTGAATTTTTGATGGACTGCTATTGGTTAGCTCACTGAAGAATTGACACTTAAGAATAAGGCTCTCTGCTTTCTTTAACCCTTTATTCAAGTAGGGCTGCTAGTGTTTCTCGCTATCTGATTTTTTAAAATGTATTTTTCCAACAAAGTTTGAGTGCTGTGTGGGCTTGATGTATTCATATTACCAATACATAATGACACCATGTGTAGTGAGAATATTCTTTAATTTGTATGAAATATGATAAAATGGACTTTTTATGTAAATAAAGGTGTAGAAGCGTGGCTGTTCACACAGTGTACCCATACTGCTGCACAAGCACCAAAGCTGAAAGGCTGGGCTATCTAGGCAAATCATAGATAGGCAAAGAACTAATCTCACAGCGGTTCTATGGATCCACAAGCATCTGTCCCTTGTAAAACCAATGCTGTCAAACCCCTCACCACTTCAACATTTGCGTGGCCTTTATAAAACGCTACCACTCGCAGTACAGATAAATGTAAGCAAATGCAGTGTAATGCTTTTAGTGAAGGAATTGCGTACCACTGCTGTAAATATTAAAATGTATGAAAAACTATTTTTTTAAAGCTCTAGGTGGACTAGGGAAAGACTAAAACCCATGTTAGGTTGTCTTGCTGCCCCTGCATCCTGCTGGGGCGATTTTCCTTCACTTCCTGTTCTGCAGATGCAATGGGAAGTGATAAGAAATCTCTGCAAAATGAACAGGTGTGCCCATTGGACAGTGTTCCCTCATCTAGTTGCTCTGGGGACTAGTCAAAATTGTATTTGTGACCATAGTTACAAAACAAAAAAAAAAAGTTTGGGAAGTGAAAAGGGAGGGAAAATTCCAACAAATAGAGAGGTAAGTTTTCCCAGCAGGGGGATACAGACAGCACTTCCCCACTCTATTAAAAAGGGGTCCTAGGAGAAATCCATGTAGATGGACAGACAGCATCCTACATAGGAAAATGTCCAGAAGAGAAGTGTGTCGGAGAGATGTTTAAAATAAACCTGTCTTGTGAGAGATATCGGTGTCACACTAAAAATGCTAGTTTTTCGGCTGTTTATGACTTGAGTACTTGGCTGACCTGTGACATGCGTTCACATCTGAATAGTCAGAGCTCATGACATGCATACTTGTTCTGGGTCTGTGACTGTGTTGATGATTGGCATGATAGCCAAGCAACTAGAATTTTCCTCTGGCGAGATAATAAATGTGGCCTTGATTCCACTTAATGACAGGTTTTCGTTAATGGCAAACACTGTCCTAGCCTAGGTTACGAAAAAAAAATGTAGGCCTTTTCCTCCCCCCTGATTGTTCAAATTATTTGGCTGGCCTTGATCCCTAGGACCATTGAACCTTGTCATGAAATAACATACTGCAAATCTATTCAGTCTTTATCTTTACTGCTTTCCCATCAGAGAAGGAATTGTGGCCGGAGTTATACATAATCACTCTGGTTATATGCCAAGGACTTTTCAGGCCAAGGGAAATGGGCAGCCATCTGTTATGACAAGTGATAACACCCGTGATTTTTCTTTTTCCAGTTACAGAAGCACAGAGATGAAGATCTCTCAAGCTTGGTTAAAGTGAGTAAAAGCTCTGTAATGCTCCTTGAGAACAAACTGGTTGGGCCAGAATGTGAGACGGATGTACTGATATTTGCTAGAGCAGAGCCAGGAATGTATTGCAACATTACCTGCACAACAGTCTTCCTGTTCCAGATTCACACCAAGCAGTCTGTGCAGTCTTGTGAAATAACTGCCTATTCTGTGCTTTGTCTCTTTAACTAATTTTATTGCATTTTGTACAATACCTCCATGTACTTCATTCATGCCATAAGATTCATTGTGTACCATAGGACTCGGTAACTCTTTTTAGATGATCTGGTTATTCATTGTAGACTATTACTCCTTCCCCTGCCTTGTATGTGCTTTAGTTCCCCATATGTGTCTGTTGTCATTCATTGTCAGTGTGCTATAACCTTCTACATTGAACCACTGATTTCCAACTTGTACAGACTAGGCTGCACAGTTAAGCTGGGTACACAAGAGCCAAAAATGTTCGGTTCAGCAGTAACTGACTTTTGGCCTGTGTGTACAGCTCCTCGTCCGATAGAAGCCAGTCCCATGAGTGGCTACTGTTGAACAGGCATGCTGGAAATCCAGTATGTGATCGGCATCCAATTATCTCTGGCAGCCAATGGCTGTAAGCACTGATCAGTGTGTACTGGCGGGGGCAGTCCTCCTGTCAGAACTCAATAGCATGGCGATCTGTAAGTTGAACAACCCACTGGGTTGAAAAGAAATAAACTTCCTGTGTGTACCCAGCATTAGGTTTCATTCACATCTGCACAAAAAAAAAAAAAACGCATCATGTTTGCGGTGCCATTATTTAAAGCGGAGCTCCACCCAAAAGGGGAAGTTCCGCTTTAAGCTTTTGTCCCCAGCTCTCCACCTTTGGAGGGAGGGGGTACCCAAATTTGACAGGTACCCAGCTCCCACTTCCGCTGCGATCACCAAGGCGATCAGAAGTGGAAGTCGTCTCCATGTGGTGGGCAAAATATTTATGTGATGTCATTGGGTTTTTTTAAAACTAACTTTATTAATTAAACCTTTGTACACAATTTGGGTGATATTATTTAGTATAGAATGCACAATTGGTTATATTTTGTAGCATATGACTTTATAATACGTTTCTAAATATTTGCAGGATGATGACATTGGTGCTGCAGTGCCAATGGAGGAGGAGCCTCTCCTGGACATGGAGATGCTTATGGCGGAGTTCAGTGACACTTTATTTTCTACTATTTATTCGCATCAGCACAACCCAAAAGAGATTGGTAAGTGGTATCTATAGGATTCATCGAACATCCGTTCAGGAAGACTTACACACAGGTATCCAGTAAAGTTGCTAACACTTTTCTTTTTTCTTGAGGGGGGGGGGGGGGTGGAGGTTTACATGTTGAACACTGCCTGATGATAGATATACGCCTAGTTACCCTGACTTCAGGATTTGTTACGTTTAAAGTGTTCTCTCTGGCCTTTGCACCGTAGCTGACTGGTGTTTCATCTTTTATAAAGCCACAGCATTACATATCTAGTGCTAGCAAATATAAGGCAACTGTGGGCTGATTTATTATTCAACTTTGCACCAATCCAAATGGCTTTTTTCAGTTCACCAATCCAAATGGCTTTCTTAGTTTGATTCCAGGCAGATGTATGATAATTGGTAGCCAGTCGCCACAATCAAAGGCATGTTAGCTTGATTATAACACAAGTAATGGTGTGAGTGTGTCATTGATTATGAAGAATATGGTCAGTCATTACTGAATTCTTTCTGAAAATAGGCTGGCTGTTCTGATCCAATTGTAAATAGTTTTGGATTTTCTTACTTGTTCCAAGACATTGACTCTAAAATATTAAAACAAGACAGTCAACATAATCAGCCTACTAACACTTTCAGGAGAAATTACATATGAACAATTTCTATCAGAAATAAGATTGGAGTGTTTTCAGGGATAAATAAAATGCATATACAGAACATGGAGTAAGACTCATCTGTCCTGATGAAAGGTTAAGCTGCTTGCCCAGTCTTTTTTTTTTTTTTTTTTTTTTTTCCAAAAGCGAGTAAATGTGAGGTCTGCAACTATTTTCATAATGACTGTTTGTTTGCAATGAACACTGATTTATTCATGGTCACCCCTGTCTAGCATGGAAGAGGAGCTATATAGGAATAATACTAATTTAACTGGTGTTTTCTTTCACAGCACATTCGGGGAATGCAGATATGATTCAACCAGAGCTTTTTCCACTTCAGCCCAACTTGGATTTGATGGACACTTTTGAATCTTTCCAAGGTAAGCGAATCTGTGGATTGTGATTGATGTTTATCCGTGTGGAAGTCTGAAAATACTTAAGTACCTGCTCCAACTTCCGGTCTGATCGCCTAGGCCAGTGATGGCGAACCCGTGGCACGCGTGCCACAGCCGGCACGCCGAGCCTTATCTGTGGGCACGCCAGGAGAATACCGTATTTTTCACTCCATAAGACGCACTTTTTTTTCCCCCAAAAAAGGGGGGAAAATATCAGTGCGTCTTATAGAGCGAATATAGAGCGGCCGGTCCGGTATTTCCACCGCCGCTGTGTCAGAATACCGGGCCGGCCGCTCAGCTCTGCAGTGGGACCGTACCTGTCCCTCTATCCAGCGGCGCGCTGTCTTCCCGGCTTCTGTAGTGTGCGTGACAGCCGGGTCCCAAGTGCGCATGCGCAAGAAGCAGTGCTCTGTGAATGGTAAGGCGGTACCTGGGACACATGACAGATCCCAGAAGCTGCCGGACCAATCACAAAGCGCAGCGCTTCTCGCGCATGCGCACTGGGCATCCGGCTGTCCGAGCGCCCACACTACAGAAGCCGGGAAGACAGCGCACGGCTGGATAAAGGAACAGGTAAGATAAAAAAAAAACTCTGCGGAAGTAAGAGCGGGTACCTGTCAAATTCAGGTACCCGCTCCCCTCCCTCCCCAAAGGTCAGCAGTCATCTGTACTGTCCGCAGTCTCTGGTCATCCCTGTGCTGTCCGCAGTCTCTGGTCATCTCCTGTACTGTCCGCAGTCTCTGGTCATCCCTGTGCTTTCCGCAGTCTCTGGTCATCTCCTGTACTGTCCGCAGTCTCTGGTCATCTCCTGTACTGTCCGCAGTCTCTGGTCATCTCCTGTACTGTCCGCAGTCTCTGGTCATCCCTGTACTGTCCGCAGTCTCTGGTCATCCCTGTACTGTCCGCAGTCTCTGGTCATCCCCTGTACTGTCCGCAGTCTCTGGTCATCCCCTGTACTGTCCGCAGTCTCTGGTCATCCCCTGTACTGTCCGCAGTCTCTGGTCATCTCCTGTACTGTGTCCGCAGTCTCTGGTCATCTCCTGTACTGTGTCCGCAGTCTCTGGTCATCTCCTGTACTGTGTCCGCAGTCTCTGGTCATCTCCTGTACTGTGTCCGCAGTCTCTGGTCATCTCCTGTACTGGTCCGCAGTCTCTGGTCATCTCCTGCACTGTGTCCGCAGTCTCTGGTCATCTCCTGTACTGTGTCCGCAGTCTCTGGTCATCTCCTGTACTGTGTCCGCAGTCTCTGGTCATCTCCTGTACTGTGTCCGCAGTCTCTGGTCATCCCCTGTACTGTGTCCGCAGTCTCTGGTCATCTCCTGTACTGTGTCCGCAGTCTCTGGTCATCTCCTGTACTGTGTCCGCAGTCTCTGGTCATCCCTGTACTGTGTCCGCAGTCTCTGGTCATCCCTGTACTGTGTCCGCAGTCTCTGGTCATCCCTGTACTGTGTCCGCAGTCTCTGGTCATCCCTGTACTGTGTCCGCAGTCTCTGGTCATCCCTGTACTGTGTCCGCAGTCTCTGGTCATCCCTGTACCGTGTCTGCAGTCTCTGGTCATCCCTGTACCGTGTCTGCAGTCTCTGGTCATCTCCTGTACCGTGTCCGCAGTCTCTGGTCATCTCCTGTACCGTGTCCGCAGTCTCTGGTCATCCCTGTACCGTGTCCGCAGTCTCTGGTCATCCCTGTACCGTGTCCGCAGTCTCTGGTCATCCCTGTACCGTGTCCGCAGTCTCTGGTCATCCCTGTACCGTGTCCGCAGTCTCTGGTCATCCCTGTACCGTGTCCGCAGTCTCTGGTCATCCCTGTACCGTGTCCGCAGTCTCTGGTCATCCCTGTACTGTGTCCGCAGTCTCTGGTCATCCCTGTACTGTGTCCGCAGTCTCTGGTCATCCCTGTACTGTGTCCGCAGTCTCTGGTCATCCCTGTACTGTGTCCGCAGTCTCTGGTCATCCCTGTACTGTGTCCGCAGTCTCTGGTCATCCCTGTACTGTGTCCGCAGTCTCTGGTCATCCCTGTACTGTCCGCAGTCTCTGGTCATCCCTGTACTGTTAATTAGTTTGCACTACTGTACGAGTTGTTTTTTCTAAACCAAAAGCTCGATATTCAGGTTTCATTGCAGTGTTGGCACTTTGAAAGAAATAAGTTGGTTTTGGGTTGCAGTTTGGGCACTTGGGCTCAAAAAGGTTCGCCATCACTGGCCTAGGCAATCGGAAGTGGAAGGTGTCCTCCCTCCCTCCCTGTAGTCTTTTGGGACACGTGACAGGTTGCAGAAGACTACAGGACCATTCATGAAGGGCAGCGCTGCTCACGCATGCGCAGTGGGTACCCGGCTGTGAAGCCGCAAGCTGTCACAGCCGGGTGCCCACACTGAAGATGCCGGCGTCCTGGAATACAGGACGGCCGGTGAAACAGGCTGCGGGACACACACCGAGGGACAGGTAAGTGGCTGTTTTTTTAAACATCAGCAGCTACAGTTTTTGTAGACTTTTTTTATTTTTTGACAGGGTGAGTAGAACTCCGCTTTAATAGCCGCATCCTAATATATAAAATGTGTGCGGTTTTTAGGAAGGCATTTGAAGGAGAAACACAAATCATTTCTAACATATGCTTTTGCAGCCAAATTTGGATAACATCTACTTTATATTTGTAACCCTATTCAAGTCCCCATTCACATAGCATAAAAAATGTTTACTGTTTAGAGGCTGTATTCTGGACCCTGCAGCAAGGGAAAGTCCTACAGTTCTAGCTCTTTTTGTTTGAGGGACCTGTGTTTGCATAATTAACTTTTTTCAGCTCTGTTACTCTGCCATGTTTAAAGCGTAACTAATCCTTACTATCCTTTTTCAGCCAAGCTGCCATCTTAGCCTCTGTTTGATCTGCAACTGCCACGGGCTGCACATGTGATCAGTTATGACATCAGTCATTTGATGGTTTGACAGTTTGGTTGAGAACAAAGGCCAATGTGATAATTAGCATTCTCGGCATGCTGGGAATATTACTGTTTTTTTAAACCATTAAATCGGTGGGTTTAGTTCTGCTTTAATAGAGCAAGGTGTAATTTGCCCATTTATAAAATGCACACCTTGATATAGAGCTTGTGACACTTCAGCAATCAGCAGGCAGAACTGACAAGTCATGTGACAGCAATCATCTCACTAGCTGTAGGTAGCCTCTCTGTGTTTGTAAACCTAAGACATGTAATATGAATAAAGCATATGCCTCCATAGTGTGTACTTGTCTCAGTCCAGAACACTCAGGGGTTTATTTACTAAAGCTGGAGAGTCCAAAATCAGACTCCCTTCTGCATAGAAACCAATCAGCTTCCAGGTTTCATTGCCAAAGCGTCATTGAACAAGCTGAGGTTAGAAGCTGATTGGTTTCTATGCAGAAGGGAGTCTGATTTTGGACTCTCCAGCTTTAGTAAACCCCTCAGTGTCATTTCTGTCACCTTCATTCCTCTATTGGCATGAATCACTTCTGAGACGTTTTTCCTGACACCAAGAGAAAAAAATGGTGGCGGGAGTGATCTCCAGCAGATTGACAGCCACAGCTCTGGTCCTGTGTGATGTGTGGGAAGGGGTGTGTCCCTTTCTTCTAATCAACTCTCAGAGCTCTCCTCACTGAGCTCTGCAGATTGTAATTTCAGATCTCCGCCCCCCCCCCTTTTTTTTTTCCAGAAACTCTCAAACAAGCTTTATAAATTCTGCACTTTAAATGAATGTAGAGAATGGAATACTGCAGATAGGTGATACAAATCCTCCTACATATGTTGTACCTGTCTATCACCTGAGGCCAGTCACTTAACTGGGTATATGTAGGGGTTTACAATCACTTATATAGGACTGGTAATGATTTCAGAAGTCTGGTGAAGGGACATATGGTGCAATCTGTTGGGGGTCTACAATTGTAAAACAGTTAAGAATCCCCTGTTGCATAGTAATGTAATCATTGAACAGTCCAGTCTGACTCTTTGTACTTTTAAACATTTCTGCAGTGTGGCCTAACCTCAGTCTAGTATGTGGTGAACTGAGCAGAATCCAGTAACGTTGCTAGTGTATTCTGACACAAAACTGGGAAAAACCTCTCAAACAGTGTTTCTGCCCTGAAGGAATTACCATTTTTTGAGCTTGATAGTTAAACAGGGACTACACATTGGTGAACAGTTTTATGCAAAACAATATCTGGATATTTTCTTTCATGTGTCTCTAGAAATATTAGAATGCTGTGTCTCCAAGGTCTAGTTGTGTTGTCAGTTTGTATTTTGGAAGAATACGGTATAAACTACCGGTATTTGCTGTTTGGAAAGAAAACTTGATGCAATACATTTTTATAGATGTAAGTCTTAACCACTTCAATACCAGGCACTTTTACCTCCCTACCCAGGCCAGTTTTCAGCTTTCAGTGTTTTCGCACTTTGAATGACAATTGCGCGGTCATGCAACACTATACCCATAAAAAAAGTTATCATTTTTATTCACACAAATAGAGCTTTCTTTTGGTGGTATTTAATCACTAATGAGTTTAATTTTTTGCTAACTAAACAAAAAAACCCTGAAACTTTTTAAAAAAAAAAAACTCCCTTTTCTTTATTTTTGTTATAAAATTTTGCAAATAACATTTCTTCATAAATTTAGGTCAAAATGTATTCTGCTGCATTTCATTGGTGAAAATACCCCAAATTAGTGTATATTATTTAGTCTGTAGGAAAGTTAGAGTCCACAAACCATGGTATATATATCTGACAATTGATCAATCAATGTACTGACAGTCAATCTAATTTCTTAGGCCCAAAAACGCCAGCATAGTACAAATACCCTCCAAATTACCCATTTTTGGAAAATAGACAGTTCAAGATATTTAGTAAGAGGCATGGTGAGTTTTTTGGAGGTTGTAATTTTTTTGCTACAATTTTTTGGAAAATGTAGAAGTTTAAAAAAAAAAAAAAAATAATAATTTTAAACAAATTCTAAAAAATTTTTTTTTATATATTGTCACCGGTCCAGTACAGCGTGATTATATAACTGGTGTGGCAGTGATCAGGGACACTGACTGATGACAGTATATAAAAAAAAAAATAATAATAATTTCATGTTTTTGTGTTTTTTTAAATTTTTTCATTTTCATTTTTTGAATTTGATTTCTTTTTTTTTACTATTTTTTTTTTTTTCAACACACTGTGACCAAAGTAATACAATGTTACCATGGTAACATCGAACTACTCTGAGCAGGATTTTTTTTTTTTTTACACATTATGATTGCTAATACCAATGTATTTCATTGATATTTGCAATCATTGTTACTGAATTAAACTGATTCATTCAGTCTTTTGTTGTGATTAGGTGTGATTGGGCAAAACTCATCACATGATACAGATGGCCTGTGATTGGCCCTGTCTGTACCATGTGACTGCTCTGATCAATCACAGCTAACACAATTGTATACAATGAATGGCGTGACAGGAAGCCATCCATTGTATGCAATCGACATGTGATCTGCTGTGATTGGTCACTGCAGTCACATGACACTGGTAACGGGCCAGTGTAGTGATATGTCATCGGCTGTTTCCAGTGGACACAGCCGGTGACATATCGCGCCGCTGCATGAATGACTGCTTTTGACAAGAGGTCATATGACGCCCACGGCGAGTGTCCTGCCCGGCCTATAGCAGATTGACGGCCGGGCAGGAAGGTGTTAAAGTACAACTAAAGGCTCCTGGTTTACAGTCTAAACAAGTTCCAAATTCAGGTACTATGTAGTGCGCTAGCCTTATAAAATAAACAAAAAACTTCTTTACTCTCTCTGGCTGAGCCAAATCCTCCTCTGTTTGTATCTTGCATGCTTCTACCCCCAACTCTACAATTCTCAGTGAGATGATGTCCACAGCAGAGACCATGCTGTCAGTCCACAAAGTAGAGGGCAGGTGCTGATTAACAAGCTACAGGCTTATAAATGGGCTGTGATCATGCTGATGGCCACATCCTTCATTATTTTTTCACTGCGCTATAGCAAGCAAGCAAGCACACTCTGCTCGGACTTCAAGAGCAGTGCAGCATTGTTGCCATGCCATCACAGGAAGCTGCATTAGGTGGACTTCACTGGCAGGATCAACAGGTATCAGTAGGATTTTGCACAGGGGCAAAAAGAAAACTGTAATTGCAGATATATTGCTGTAGCAATTATAATGGGAGGCCATACTTCTATTTTAAATTGTTTTTGCATTAGAATTAAATGTATAAATACTTGACTTCTGTTTTTTCATTCCCTTTTAGATCTTTTCTCTGGCAACCGTCTGCCATCTACTTTGTTTACTTCTGCCTCTTCTGTACCTGCCGTCCCACTGTCTGACCCTGCTTTGCATTCCTGTAACCAGACATTGGCGGTAAGGATAAGCAATTTAAGAGTTAGAGAATCTTCTGTTGTGTATGGGTTTTTATTTTTCCGTTTAGCTTAGCAGCTACAAATACTGTATTTTCTGACTTTTTAAAAGAAATCAGGTATTTACCAGTGTCTGGAGTCCAGCACTGTCTTCCCGCAGCCGAATCCTTTCTTCTGAGTGTCTCCAGCACTGATATCTTGAATAGAGGAGTTGGCTGTGATTTCCTGAGGAACCACAGTCGATTCTCCACTGGACTTGGTGACATTCTGTGAATAGTCCTGCAGCCGCCTGGGACATGTGATGTGTCTCAGGATACTGCAGGAGGGAGTATTATTATTATACAGGATTTATATAGCACCAACAGCTTGCTCAGCGCTTTACAATATAACAGGAGACAATACAGCAAAAATACAGTTCAATACAAGAGGGATAGGAGGGCCCTGCTCCTTGGAGCTTACAATCTAGGAGGGAGGGGCTAGTGGTACAAAAGGTAGTAACTCTGGGGGATGGACTGGTTGCAAGAGTAGAAGATTCCATTATTAGCTGAGGGCAGGATAGGCTTCCCTGGAGAGAAGTTTTCAGAGATCGCCTAAAAGTGAGCAGAGCAGGGCAATGGGCATCATCATGGTCTAGGCAAGGATTGCAGTAGTTTTGAAGTATGTATCAATAAACATTTGTTCTTAGTGACTATGGTGAATCCTCTATAAATGAATCCTAAAATTCTATTCATTATGCAGTTTGCATCTCTAGACTGCAAGGTAATCAGATTATTTTTTCTGTTTTCCAGCCTCCTGTCTCGCCATCTTCTAGCAGCCTTGCACCTGTAAATCTTGATGAGGAATTGATCCCATCCCCAGGTCCTCCTTCCATCCTTCCCCGAGTCCCTGAAGTGAGGAGGGAACGGGCATCCAGTCTGGGCAGTATTTCTTCTGTTCATGGACCAGTCAAGTTTAACTCAGAGACTTCTATTAACAACCAGCATGGTTTTGTCCCAGTGTGCCCTCCTCCAGTTACAATCTTCCAGACGCCGCCTGGTCAACAAACATTGCCTCCGAATCCTCGCCTGGCACCCCAGTCCTCTTTTGTTAGCTCGGACGCTGATAAGTTTCACATGTGTAACGCCTCAGTTATTACGCACACGGCTTCTGCCACACTTACCCATAATCCTTCTGCAACTACCTTCAGTCAGAGCCAGAACCTTATACTCACAACGCAGCAACACGTGCCTTGTAACATTTCAGTGCAAACTGCTGGGGTAATGCAACAGACTGCTCCCCAATCCCATGGGTACTTTACTTTTTCAAGCTCTGGAGCTAAGCAGAAAAAGCAGCCTCCAAAAATTGTGCCTGCTCCTCAACAAGAGACTGTATCTTTGCTTTTTACTCCCGGTAAGTGTTGGGTTTCTGAGATTGCAGTCCTCAAGGGATTGCTGTCAATCATTGACCTGTTTATTGAAAAAAAAAAAAATTTTATGACCTATATGAAATGTAAAAAATTTACAGTTTGAAAGCTAAAATGAATGTTGTACATTGGGGGTCGGTAACTTGTAAATCGTGATGTGGTAGATCTTGGCCAGGTGACTGGTAGATGACAGTCTGGGCTTGCTGACACACCATCCCAGAGCATCAAACAGAGTGCAATGTAGAGGAACTACTTGTAAAGTTGGAACGGTAATAGGGAGCAAGAGCCACATAAACTGATGTCTCCTCTGTAGTGCTGCTCCTACGCCCTGTCATGGTTGGTGGGTGTAGCACCTGCCAAGCATGACCCATTCAAGTGAATGAGGCTGCTCTGTAATTGCCCTGCAACCCTATGCAGTACAGCAAACAAGGGGTTAAACAGCCAGCAGTGTGTTGCTTTCTCACCAGCTGCTTTTTAAGCCTTTGGATCCCGCAGAAGCATGCAGTTACACAGGGCACTTGCACAGTGCAGTGGCCCATTTACTTGAATGGATCTCGGTTGACAGGAGGTAGCACCCACTAAAAGCATCAGGGGGTTTAATTGCTGCTGCGGCATGTGTACACCTTTTGGCTGCTGCCTCAGCAGCTAAAGTGGGTAGGGATTGGGGGGCAATTAAAACCGTGATTCAACCACAGGGTTATACCACCCTCCAACTTTACATGTGAACAAGCCCTTAGGGTGCCACTGCCGTTTACAACCAAGGGCTCATTCACAGGTGCAGTAAGGTACTGCTGCTCCTCTGCAAAGAGATCCCAATGCATTTGACAGGTGGTGAGGAGGCGATAAGTTGCCTCCTCATCACCTGGCTTAAAACCCATGATTGCCATGGAATGCATGCAATTGTGACCCGTTTGTACGGCAATTAGAGATTTAAATCAGGTGTGAGGAGGCAACACTGTGCCCAGCGATCTTTGATTTCTCCCATTTTGTTCAAGTAGATATCCACCTCTTTAAAGTTGCCTACCCCTGTTCTACATGCTACATGAAAGCCCATGCTGAGAGAATACTGCCAACTAATCTACTTTCACCATTATAACTGTTTCTGACCTATATGTGAAGGGAAAAAGTTTTATTCATGTTTTTTGGAATTCTAAAGGGCTTCTTGAAAAGCAACAGTAGGGTCATAACTTGGTTAAAAAAAAAATAAAACCGCATGGTAAGTCCTCAAGCACACTAGACGTTTTTACAGTGGCTGGTTTGGGCTTGTGGCGGTCTTTTTTTTTTTCCTACAGCCAGGAAACAGGTTATACTGTGTCCATGCACACATAAGCTTTAACACGTTCCCGCTCGGCCTATAGCAGATTGACAGCTGGGCGGGACACTCGCCATTATGACTGGGAGTCATATGACGTTCTTTCAAAGCGAGCCGCTCATGGGGCCACACAGCGGCACAATCTGTCACCGGATGTGTCCACGGGACACAGACGACATATCGCTACACTGGCCTGTTGCCAGTGTCATGTGACTGCTGTGACTAATCACAGCAGATTACATGTCAATTGTATACAATGGATGGCTTCCTGTCGTGCTATCCATTGTATACAATTATGTTGTTAGCTGTGACTGGTCAAGGCAGTCACATGATACACACAGGGCCAACCACAGCCCATCTGTATCAGGTGATCAGCTTTGCCCAATCACAGCTAATCACAAAAGACTGAATGAATCAATTTCATTCAGTAACAATGATTGCAAATATCAATGAAATACATTGGTATTAGCAATCATAATGTGTTAAAAAAAAAAAAAAAAAAAAAATCCTGATCACTTGCTGTTTTTTGTTTAGCAAAAAATAAAAAACTCAGTGGTGATTATAAATTACCACCAAAAGAAATCTCTATTTGTGTGAAAAAAATGGCAAAAATTTCATATGGGTACAGTGTTGCATGGCCGCGCAATTGTCATTCAAAGTGTGACAGCACTGAAAGCTGAAAATTTGCCTAGGCAGGAAGCAGGTATAAGTGCCCGGTATTGAAGTGGTTAATCAGCGTTTTTTTGGCTAGGGAAAAAAAACCCAGAAGTAGTGGGTTTCTAGGGAAGTAGCTGTAAAAACACTCTAACGCTGGTATATGCGGTGAAACACGTCAAACCGGTGTTTTTGGGCCTTTTTCTTGAGTAAAAAAAAAAAAAATGCAGCTAAACTCTGCTACAAAAACGCTAAAAACTCGCATGTTTAACGTGACTTTATACAGCTAACGCTACTGACATTTTTAAACCGTCCAGTGTGCTTGAGGACTAATAACGCATTGCATTGCTTTTATAATTGTGGTCTGTGATCTGCCGGCTTTGGCATTCTGAAGCTAGTGGACAGCATTGAAAATAAATCGTCCAGTCATGACCTTTCAGTCACATGGCCAGGTTTGAGCCCCCACTAGTGCCCTTATAGCAAGCAGCTGCTTAAAGGAGTCAGGAGTGTCCGCTGGAGACCCAAGAAGAGGCAGTTTGGGACCGTTCTGTGCGATTCCACTGCACAGGCAGTTAACTATAAAATCTCTTTAACCGCTAGCCTACAGGGCACTTTTACCCCCTTCCTGCCCAGGCCAATTTTCATCTTTCAACACTGTTGCATTTTGACAATTGCGCGGTCATGCAACACTGTACCCAAACAAAATTGTATAATTTTTTTTTTAGGCAGATAGCTTTCTTTTGGTAGTATTTAAACACTACTGAGGTGTTTTTTTTTTTTTTTTTTTTTGCTAAACAAACTAAAAGGAATTTTTTTTTCTTAATTTCTGTTATAAAATTTTGTAAATAAGTAATTTTTCTCCTACACTGATTTGCGCTAATGAGGCTGCAGTGATGGGCACTGATAGGCTGCACTGATGGGCATTGATGAGGAGGCACTGGTGGGTATTGACAGGCATCACTGATGGGCACTGAAAGGCAGCACTCACATGTGGCACTGATAGGCGGCACTGACAGGCAGTGATAGTTGGCACTGAAAGGCAACTCTGGGCACTGATACGTGGCATTGATGGGCACTGACAGGTGGCACTGATGGGGTTACACTGATAATCAGGGCCCTGGTGATCAATGCCCCTGATGGTCAGTGTAGTTATTCCCTCTGCAGAACCCCATTTACCGGCCCACCTCGCCTCACATGCTGATAACCGGCATTTTCTATTTACATGCGATCAGCTGTGATTGGACAAAGCTAATAACGCGTTAGAGCCTACGTCATCGGCTCTTTACTGCGATCGGTGATCCGCTGTTTCCCAGGGACACAGCACACCACCAATTGCTGCGTTAACCATGAGATTTAAGAACGTTAATTCAATTTTATAATGGTTAGTGGGGTCAAATCGACATTTGCTTTCATTCAGTGTGGAGAAAATTTGAAGAAGCAGGAAGGAAAATTTTTCTCACATGAATATTAATAGTGAATGTGGCTTTTGTTTGGGAATGTCCATTCACTCCAAAATCCAATGACCTTCATCAAGTCATTGAATGTACTGAGAATTTTCATACAAATGTACAACCAGCTTAAAACCTGATTGTTAAAGACTTGGTTATATTACACTTATTGCGTTTATGCACCCTTGATGCATGTCATTGGCTGGTCTGTTTGAACAGTGTTTAGACATTAAATGCCTTTGATAATGGAAATGCTATTGTGGGACTTGCAGGTATTTCCATTGTCCCTTACACAGTGTGGAAGTTTGGCGGAGGTCCCTGGTGTCAGGAGCTTGACCTGGTAATACACTAACAGTGGATATAAAAAGTCTACACACACCTGTTAAAATGTCAGGTTTCTGTGATGTAATAAAATGAGAGAAAGATAAAAACATTTCAGAACTTTTTCCACCATTAATGTAACCTATAAACTGTACAACTCAGTTGAACACCAAACTGAAATCTTTTAGGTGGAGGGAAGTAAAAATAAAAAACTAAAATAATGTGGTTTCATAAGTGTGCACACCCTTAAACTAATACTTTGTTGAAGCCCCTTTTGATTTGATTCCAGCACTCAGTCTTTTTGGGTATGAGTCTATCAGCATGGCACATCTTGACTTAACAATATTTGCCCACTCTTCCTTGCAAAAACACTCCAAATCTGTCAGATTGCGAGGTCATCTCCTGTGCACAGCCCTCTTCAGATCACCCCACAGATTTTCGATCTGATTCAGGTCTGGGATCTGGCTGGGCCATTCCAAAACTTTCATCTTCTGGTGAAGCCATTCCTTTGTTGATTTGGATGTAGGCTTTGGGTTGTCCTGCTGAAAGAGGAAGTTCCTCTTCATGTTCAGCTTTCTAGCTGAAGCCTGAAGGTTTTGTGCCAATATTGACTGGTATTTGGAACTGTTCATAATTCCCTCTACCTTGACTAAGGCCCCAGTTTCAGCTGAAGAAAAACCGCCCCAAAGCATGATGCTGCCACCACCATGCTTCACTGTGGGTATGGTGTTCTTTTGTGATGTGTAGTCTTGTTTTTGCGCCAAACATATCTTTTGGAATTATGTTCAAAAAAGTTCAACCTTGGTTTCATCAGACCACAACACATTTTCGCACATGCGTTTGGGAGACTTCAGATGTGGTTTTTGCAAAATTTAGCCAGGCTTGGATGTTTTTCTTTGTAAGAAAAGGCTTCCGTCTTGCCACTCTACCCCATAGCCCAGACATGAAGAATATGGGAGATTGTTGTCACATGTACCACACAGCCAGTACTTGCCAGATATTCCTGCAGCTCCTTTAGTGTTGCTGAAGGCCTCTGCAGCCTCCCAGACCAGTTTTTCTTCTCATCTTTTCATCAAATTTGAAGGGACGTCCAGTTCTTGGTAATGTCACTGTTGTGCCACATTATCTCCACTTGATGACTGTGTTCAATGGTATATCTAATGCCTTGGAAATTCTTTTTGTGCCCTTCTCCTGACTGATACCTTTTAACAAAGAGATCCCTCTGATGCTTTGGAAGGTCTCTGCGAGCCATGGCTTTTGCTGTAAGATGCAACTAAGAAAATGTCAGTAAAGACCTACTAGAACAGCAGAACCTTATTTGGGGTTAATCAGAGGCACTTTAAATGATGGCAGATGTGTACTATTTAACATGATTTTGAATGTCATTGCTTAATTCTGAACACAGCTACACCCCCAGTTATAAGGGGGTGTGAACACTTATGCAACCACATTATTTTAGTTTTTTATGTTTACTCCGCCCCCCTAAAAGATTTGTGTTTTTTTTTCAATTGAGTTGTACAGTTTATAGGTCACATTAAAGGTGGAAAAAGTTCTTAAATGATTTATCTTTGGCTCATTATTTTACATCTCAGAAACCTGACATTTTAACAAGGGTTTATAGACTTTTTACATCCACTGTATGTATGGGTCAGTCTTTTCATGCACAGTTGGCCTTAGTGAAATTTTTCATTAACAATAGGGAACTCAACTAAGTACAGTAATGTGCTGCCATTTGTTTTTCTGAGAAGCTTTTGTCTGCCAGTTAAAGCAGAAGATCGCCCAAAAGTTCTGCTACCCCCTATACAACACCACTTCTGAACACTTTTTTTTTTTTTTTTTGTGAGGAGGGAGAGTTGGTACAAGTTTGACAGGTACCTTCTCCTACTTCTGCTCTGTTTGCCTAGGCCTGCAGCTTTATGGGACACATCACAGGTCCTAGAAGGCTGCTGGACCATTCACAAAGCACAGTGCAGCTCACATGTGCAGTAGGAAGCCAGCTGTGAAGCCTTTAGGAGTTGCAGCTGGCTTCAATTGTTAAACATGCTGGTGCCAGGGTCCTGTAAAATAGGAAAGACCCATGTTTGGTGAGACTACCCTGGACAGGTAAGTGTCCTTATATTAAAAGTCAGCATCTAGTATTTGAAGCTGCTGGTGAAGATCCTCTTTAGTCTTCTTCCTGGTTAGGGATTACAAAGTTATCAATATGCAACTCTTGCTCTCCACATTTTTGTGCTTGCACACCTGCACCCAGTTCAATGCATGCTGTGCCTAGATGCAGTTAATTCTTTTCTGAATCCAGCTGCCCTCGCCATAGGCAGCCACACCTGTTTGGGTGGTTATAAGTCATTGATAGTGGCTCCTGCATAGACCCTCATTGTCATCAGAGAGATGATTAGCTGGTGGTTAGTAGGCAGAGACTACAAGGCAGTTCTGCAGCAACTACCGGCCAAGGTGAGAGAATGATAAATATAAATCTCTATATCTTTCTTAAAAAAAATAAATTATTTATACTCACACTCACACTCTGCTCAAAAGAAAAAATTAAAGGGACACTTTTTAATCAGAGTATAGCATCAAGTCATTTAAACTCCTGGGATATTGATCTGGTCAGTTAAGTAGTAGAGGGGGTTGTTAATCAGTTTCAGCTGCTTTGGTGTTAATGAAATTAACAGGTGCACTAGATGGGCAACAATGAGACCGCCCCCAAAACAGGAATGGTTTTGCAGGTGGAGGACACTGACATTTTTTTCCCTACTCCTCTTTTCTGTTTTTCACTAGTTTTGTATTTGGCTAGGGTCAGAGTCACTACTGGTAGCATGAGGTGATACCTGGACCTTACAGAGGTTGCACAGGCAGTCCAACTCCTCCTGGATGGCACATCAATACGTGCCATTGCTAGAAGGTTTGCTGGGTCTCCCAGCACAGTCTCAAGAGCATGGAGATTCCAGGAGACAGGCAGTTACTCTAGGAGAGCAGGACAGGGCTATAGAAGGTCCTTAACCCATCAGTAGGACTGGTATCTGCTCCTTTGTGTAAGGAGGAACAGGATGAGTACTGCCAGAGCCCTACAAAATGACCTCCAGCAGGCCACTGGTGTGAATGTCTCTGACCAAACAGACAGACTTCATGAGGGTGGCCTGAGTGCCCGACGTCTTCTAGTGGACCGTGTGCTCCTTGCCTGGCACCATAGAGGTCGATTGGCATTTGCCATTGAACACCAGAATTGGCAGGTCCGCCACTAGCACCCCATGCTTCTTACAGATGAGAGCAAGTTCACCCTGTGCACGTGACAGACGTGAAAGGGTCTGGAGAAGCCATGGAGAACGTTATGCTGGCTGTAACATCGTTCCACATGACCGATTTGGTGGTGGGTCAGTGATCGTCTGGGGAGGCATATCCATGAAGAAACACACTGACCTCTTCACACTAGACAGTGGTACCCTGACTGCCATTAGGTATTGGGATGAAATCCTTGGATCCATTGTCAGACCCTACGCTGGTGCAGTGGGTCCTGGGTTCCTCCTGGTGCACGACAATGCCCGGCCTCATGTGGTGAGAGTATGCAGGCAGTTCCTGGAGGATGAAGGAATTGATACCATTGAATGGCCCCCACACTCGCCTGACTTAAATCCAATAAGAACACCTCAGGATATATCACGTTTCAGCCCATCAGACACCACCAGGTTGCACCTCAGACTGTCCGGCAAGGAGAACAGCAATCAGTGGTGTCTGATCACTCCATTCTCGGCTTTAGAGCTGGTGGGGGACAGAAGCAGCATCGGATCAGTGCTGCATCCACCTAGGTAAGTGTGATTTAAAATTCCTAAACTTCTCTTTTAAAGAGATAATATCCATGCAAAAAAGTCTCAGCCTTTAGTACTGCTTTAATATAAAAGATTTATATCCTCCCACTCCTCTTCATATAGCTTCATGTCTGACTCCCAGTTAAAATACCCTGTATATCCTATTTCTGGGTATATTTATTAAAATATATATGATATAAGTGTGTGTATGTATATATATATATATATATATATATATATATATATATATATATATATTAATTAATATTATACATACATACACTGTGTGCTTTTGTTTTTTTTACCCCGTCATGTGATGGAAAAAGACATGCTGCTACTATATCTTGTGCAGGCCATACTTGTATCGATTTTTGGATGAGAATATTTGTACTTTCGTTCTTTATACATTTGATGAATGGATGAATGTTGTTTTGAAATTTTCACTTGCTTTTTAGCATTTAATTTTAAAATTATTCTAATTTCTGAATGAAAACCAGATACACTGTCCGAAAACTTGTTAGATCGAGAACAGTACTATTCTGCTCCTTCAAATTTTCCCTTTGCTGTAGTCAAAAACGAGCGTCGATTTGACCCCACTATTAGGCAATCCTCTTAAAACAAACATTTTTGAATAAAAAATGTGTTTGTGTATGACCAGCATAAGTGAGAGC